GGCAACATTTGGTGATTTGGAGGTGCACAGAACTTCACTATATTGTGTACAAGTCATGACTTGCACACAGCAGAGTGAACTCCTGTGCAGGCTGAAATCATCTTTAACTGGTGGTAATTTATGTTTAATCAGCAATGATGATGACATAATCACTGCTGCACACATAGAACAGTGCGACAGGATTTCAGCCACTGCATGGAAAAGTGCTCAATGGCCCATCAGAAATGTAATGGAGAAGTCTCCTGCTGGGAGAGGTAACTGTAAGTACCCTTGTATCATCATTGTTCCAGAATGTGAATTATGGAGATGACTGAAAGTGCTGAAATGAACATAAAACATTTTTAATATGTGGATACAGAGTTAATATCTGCTTCTGTGACTTGAGCTCTGCACAAAAGCCAGACAGTACAGATACACGCAAATCTTATGATGACAATATCTCCATGTCGTAGCAGCCAAATTGCATCTCTAAATCTAAGATTAGAATATTCTTAATCATGCCTGCCAAGAGATAGATTTAGCTAGCAAGAGAAAAGTTATAGCTACTGCAGTTTACACCAGATGAATCTATCTATATGCAAGTGTCACCTACTTTCATGATTAAAGCAGGGGTCCCAAAACTCCAGTCCATGGCCTGGGCTGGACCGGGCCATGGAGACAGATCTCACACACACACACACAAAACCCCTTCGCAAATGCACAAGAGCACCCCCTAACCTTCACGCAAGCGCGCCCCGCTCCTTTGCACATGCCCCAACCAGTCCATGCAGTTAAAAAGATCCAACTTGTCCTGAACTGTTTCAGTTATCATCTAGGCTCAAGCACAATCCTTGATTTAGATATTCTTCTAAAGAAGACTGCTAGTTGCTCCACTGTTGAACCATTTCAGGCACAAAACCCAGTGGTACCTTAAAGACTGACAGATCCATTTATCATGTAGTGGTTCATGGACTAAAGTTCACTTCACCTGATGTATATACTGTATTTTTCCGTGTATAAGACACCCCCCACTTTTCTAACCCAAAATTAAGAAATCCAAGTGAGGCTTAGCAACTGTAGGTGAAAATGGATCAAAGTGCTACACGATCATTTTGATCCCTTTCCCCCTTCTACAGCCACGGGATTGCTTTCTTTCCCCCCTCCTTTTGTTAAGCCCCATGGGACTTAGCAAGCAGAGGGGAAAGCAGGGATCAAAGCAATCCTGCAGTGCTTTGATCCCTGCTTTCCTTTTGCTAAGGATTAGCAAGTAGCAGGGAAAGCAGGAATCAATGCCCTGCAGGAACAATTTGATCCCTGCTTTCCCCTCCACTTGTTTTTGTACTCTCCTCAGCTTACTTCCATGTATATTTTTAGTCTAAAAATTTTAGACAAAAAGTATAGTCTTATACGTGGAAAAATACAGTAAATGCACTGTTAGTTAACAGCATATTGGTACTAGGAAGAACTTGGAGGCAGTGAGCCCCAAAGACTACACAGAATACAAGACATACAGATAAATCTTCTGCTAGTAGTTGTTCCACTAGATCAGTGGTCCCCAACCTTGGGCCTCCAGAGGTTCTTGGACTTCAACTCCCAGAAATCCTGGCCAGCAGAGGTGGTAGTGAAGGCTTCTGGGAGTTGTAGTCCAGGAACATCTGGAGGCCCAAGGTTGGAGACCACTGCACTAGATCACAACATTCTTCCAGGAGAATCCAATGTTAGATCCTGTCCATATGCACCCTATTAAGAATTCAGTTTAGTACCCGTCAGTAACTAAAGAAGTGAAGTGATGCACATGTTTTTGACTACTACAGTTCTCTCCTGCTACACAAATTAAACACATTCCATGTGAGAAGACTGTTCTTGACTGAGCAACAAACAAGCAAAATGGTTGGTAAATCCCCACCACTGTCATGTGACCATGGGTCCAGGCCTTACTTGGCACATACTAAACTGGGAATCACAGATGTCCTGCCCATTAGGCTCTGTGGAGGACATCTCCCGAGGACCTATGACACCTAGCATGCACTGCAGGAGAAAAGGGGAAGGAGAGGAAATGACATTAGTGGTGGAGGCAAATAATTGCACCTCTTTTCTCAGGTGGGAAAATCCAGTGGTCTGTAGATTTGGATTTGTAGGCTGCAATTCCCACAATTCTGTCTGGGAGTTGCAATCCAAAAAGACAAAATAGTTTTTGGATTGCAAAAACTGCACATATTGTTTGAGAATCTTGTAGATTTCTTTGCTATGCTGTATGTTATTTTCATAACTACTATCTGCAAAAAAAGGGCAGAGTAAAGTGAAAGTGTCTTTTTTTAGAAACTCACAAGTCATAAATGCTCCTCTTGCACAGAACCCTCCCACATACATCTGAAATGCAGCAGACTTAATTCACTTAAAAAGGGCAGGTCTCTCTTCAAATATCATTCAACTCTGCTAAAATATTTTTAAAACCTCTTTAAAATTTCTCATTGAGTCTTTCCTACCCTTAGAATTCCGAGATATGAACAACCACTATTTCCTGGATTGTGTAACTATTTAATAAAGCATTCACAAGCTATAATAAATATCACACCATATTTTATCAAATTATTGACTCAGGGAGGATGCAGACAGAAATAAGAGTTCGAATAAATACTTCCTGACTTCATATCATACATCCCCACATGGCTATACTGACAGCAAGCACCCTCTGAAATAGCTGGTAGCAGCCACATCTCCCAATAACTTCAAAAACCACATTTTTGCTGTTCATTCCCTTAGCTTTTTTTAAAAGCTCTGACCACAGTAAAGACAGGGCAATATACCTTTTATTACACCTATTAAAGTGCAATAATGTCACCAGCAAATTTTGAAGTTCTCTAAAACTCTTATTCAGGCCGTATATTAAATGCAAAATATTTCCTCATCTTTTGTTAACTCTAGCTAAGACATATCACTAATTTGTGACTTGTTCTTGTTTTTAATCTCCTAAAGAATCAACTAAATCAACTCCAGCTAAATTTTCACAGTAGACTTCCTATGAAGGGCTGGCATCACAGATCTGCTGCCACTACAAATCCATTACTGTTGGCTAAGTACAACCAGAGATCTTTCAGGATGCCATAGCACAGTGGTAGATTAGCTGCTTTGCACATATGTCTAGGTTCAGTCATTGGGATTCCAACTAGTATAACTACTGCCTAGAACCGTGGAGTAACCTCAAGGCATAGTGGTTAAACTGCAGTACTGCAGCCAAACTCCGCTCACGACCTGGGGTTCAATCTCAGGTAGCCAGTCAAGAATCACTCAGCCTTCCATCCTTCTGAGGTCAGTAAAATCAATACCCAGCTCTCTGGGGTAATGTGTAGCCTGCATAATTAACTTGTAAACTGCCCAGAGAGTGCTTTAAGTGCTATGGGTCAGTATATAAGCAGAATAGCTTGCATTTGGACAGCTGCTGCCAAACACTGCAGTCCATACCGGGTGACACAGACCAATGCTCTGATCTAGTATACAACAGCTACTTATATGCCTAAACTGGCACCTATACGTACAGGTGATCTACTGCCATGACTAAAAGAAAAAGCACATGAGAGAATGACACAATAGTATATGCTCTGGCACCGTTTCTGAAAGGCCCAGCAGAGACAAGTGGAGGCAAAGGAGTTACCCAGTGACAGCAGTGAGGTTGCCATTCCTGCCAGGATATCAGTCTCTATCATTCTAGCTAGTGGACTGAACAAGACTATGCATAATTTACTTCTACTTAGTTCATGTATGTTCCAGTAGCATGATAATGTGAACTGGACCCATCTACTCACAGAAGCACCTCCCTCTATGGTTGAGCCTACTCTGGATTCCAGTGAACATGTTCCCTGAAAACAAATTGGCCATCCCCAACTTTCACCCCAAGAGTGCAGGTGACAGACTGGCAGCTATTCTTATTTCTGCCAAGCATAACAACCACGACTCCTTGCTCCTATGGACTATGGGGTGGGCAAGTTTAGCCCAGTAGGCTTTAGGAAGTTGTGTTACCATGATTTGGACAATTTGCTTCAAGTACAGAAGCCGGACATATTCTTCATGCGTCAGCAACTGCATGCAAAGTTAAAAAAAGAGGAAGAGGAAATCCAATGCACTAAAGATGTTTCTGAAAGCCACCTTCTCCCCATAATTTGGATCTAGGCCTGAGTCTCCCTTTCCTCACAAGCCTCACCTTGTCTGTAGCACCTGAATGCCTAGTGCATTTTATTTCACATCAGCTTGCTGCAGCCCAAGGAGATTGTGACATTTGCTACTCGTCGGAAACGCAGCAGGACCCCTCCTGGTTTTTGCTATACGTTAAAGGTTCACACACCCCCACCCCGGGGGGGAAAAAAAACCTTCTCCAGGCGGCCCTTTTTTTCTATTCCCCTGAGGCCGCGTTTCCCCAGCACACGAGGAACTGCCGTCTAAGCATGCAAAAAGATTGCAGCCCCACGGCCAGGTGGCGGAGAACCTTCAGCCCGAGTGTTTTGGGGCGCGAGGGACGAGTTACACGGAGACCGTTCGCTGGGTCACCCTTCCCCCCCTCAAACCACGGGGCGCGCCGGGACCC